GCTTCTTCGATGGGCCAGTCACTGTGCCTCCCCTCCCGTCCCCTCCCCCTATGAACATCAGCAGTCTCTGCTCAACGCCACTCGGGGGAACCAACGGCATATCTCTAGGTGGCAGGCGCCAAGCTTGCCCAGGAAGGTACATGAGGCCAATGGGGATTGAACCCAAGCCCTCCTGAATGCCACTTGCGTGCCTTACCAACTGAGCTAGGCCACTGGATTGTTCTGTAACGTTTGGCTGTTCCCTTCCTCTTTTCTTTGCCTCTTCGCCTTTCGGCTGTGTGCAAGTGGGTCGATATGACACACGGGGGTGGGGGCAGCCGCCGCTCAACCTACATCCACGTGGGCGGCCTTGTACGCAAGAGGTTTTGAACAGGGGGAGTCTTGTAAGGAAGAAGATAAAAATGAATTTATGGGCGTCGCTCCACTACTCTCGAAATGTGCAGAACGAGAGTGAATCTTCTGCTAGAACATGGAAAGATACACCACCATGATTTTTGTCTTTTGTGCATTTCGAGAGTAGTGGAGCGAGGCCCTATTTCTTCTTTTTTTCGCATTTGCGCTCTGATAAATTTGTGACGATATATATGTAAACTGCCTGCACCGTCCGGATTGTTGTATATCGCCGCTTGACTACGCGTAGGGTTGCCTGAGGACGTTGGTCATAGGTTGTTCTGATGACCTCCCCAGTCTGGCATATCGGATTCGAAAACACATGGTAGAGTATGACTGTTAGACAATGATGATCGCGGTTGGGTTTCTAGTACAGATAGTAATACAACTCTCACATTCGACATACACACCGCCTATGTGACGAACGCGCCCGGATGGCGGTCCGTCAGGATCAAGACGAAGGGTTGAACGGGGAGGACATGGAGATGGAGCTGGAAGGGACAACACAACTTCTTGACTACGCGTAGGGTTGCCTGAGGACATTGGCCATACGTTGTTCTGATGACCTCCCCAGTTTGGCATATTGGATTCGAAAACACATGGTAGAGTACGACTGTTAGACAATGATGATCGCGGTTGGGTTTCCAATACAGATAGTAATACAACTCTTACATTCGACATACACACCGCCTATGTGACGGACCTGCCCGGATGGCGATCCGTCAGGATCAAGACGAAGGGTTGAATGGGGAGGACATGGAGATGGAGATGGAAGGGACACCGCAGCTCCGATGCGGACTCAACATGCACGTACTCCAAAAGTGCAGAATGAAGAATCATCATGGAAACAAACTGCAGCTGGGGTATACCCCAGCGGACTGACTGGACTGGACCGGACTGGCTTGGTACCGACAGTGGTACCTGACAGGACTGGACTAAACTGAATGAATATACGGCCTGTGGGATCAGGCCACGACCTGGTCCCACAGACCGAACAGGCAAAATAACCTGATAGCTCTGGCTATAGGCCAGGGCCACTAGAGGTATGTTGCACGATCCTCAGACCTGTAGTGGATCGCAAGAGCCAAAGACACGCTTCCACAAAAGCAGTGGGAACTCTGCAATAAAGAAAACTGAGAAATCTAGGATGCGGAGCAAGCTCCATGCGGAGTCCATGCGATGCAGCCTAAGCTACATAATATCAAATGAAAAGCGAATACCTGGTATACACATCCTAAGATTCCTAACTAACAACAGAAAATGAAATGTAGCAACATACCATCCTAAAGCCCTGCAGGCAATTGCCTCAGTGCTGAAAGGAAAAGAGAGCAATATGTCACAAGTAATGTCATGTCGCTGAACCACTAAGAGTGGGATGGTCTCAGAGGGGGTGAATGCAGCCTAAGAATCGAAACTCCTAAGGACAGTCACGCACGAAGGTGGGATAGGTCATCAGACTCAAGGTGAGGGAGTGGTAGCAAAGCAAAACCAATGACCCTAACACGTAGACCATCAATGTCGATAATGCTCGACTAAAGAGTGACACCATGCAGGGTCGACCATGAAAGGAGAGTCTGGAAGAGGGTGGTCATATGCCTAACTAAAGGCATGCAATGACCGACACTAGGGTGATGAGGGATGTAGTGGGTGAGAGAAACATGCACACAACTCACCGACTGAGGGAGGGAGCTAGATCAAGGAGCGGGGAAGCCAAGATAACGCTACGGTCCTAAGGCCTATGTGATACCAAGGGAGAGCCCAACTCAGAGAGACCCTGCTAAGTGAGAATCATCATGCGACACATGCAAGGGAATATACAGGGTAGGGTGGTGGCGTGAGGAAGTCGTGTCCAAAGTAGCTGAAGTCGAGAAGGTAGCTGAAGTCGTTGAAGTGGTCGATGACGTCGATGAAGTAGGAGTCGAGTCGATGTCGAAGCAGAGCCGCAAAACGTTGACATCTTGAAGAAGTTGATGATGAAGTAAGTGAAGGTGTGAGTCAATAGGGAGAAGGTAGGTGATCGGAGTGTCAATCGTCGAGACGCCGAGGGCGTCGGCGAGTGGGCTGTAGACGTGCGGAGGCATCCATCTGCTATTGAAGAACGGCCTCATAGGGAGCATGCTCGTCCTCAACAATCTCCTCAGTCGGACAAGGAGGAAGAGGGGTCGTAGGCTGAGTAGGAGCAGATGTCTCAGCACGATGAGCACGATCATATGCACGCACCAACATTCGGGTGTGCGCCAAGTGTTCGAGGGGCTCCCAAGTAGCCTCCTCCTTAGGATAACCTTTTCAACGCATAAGGTACTCAATGCGTGAAGGGGTATCGTTGGTAACTTGGCGAGATACGATGTCGGAAACGATCAACTCCTCGTTACCATCCACCGTGATAGGTGGAAGGCGCTCATAAGGACGTCTGGCGAAGTGCTCGGACGGTGTGCGATAAAAACGCAGCAAGGAGACATGATAAACATCGTGTACGCGAGCCTATCGAAGGTAATCAGGTTGCTTCACACGGAAGCTGACTGGACTAGCGGCAGTATCAGAACCGACGACCTGAAGGATGCGGCATGGATCGAAGAAGCGACACTTGAACTTGCGAAGCGTATTCGCTTCGAGCTGCAAGTGGCGTGCATCGACGAGCACTTCCTCACCGACTTTGAATGGATGATCCATTTGTGATCGGTTCGCTCGTGCAGTTATGCGAATATGAGAGTCGGTTAGACTCTCGTGTGCGCGCTTCATAATCGCCGCCATGTGGGCGATGCAGTCGTCAAGCGCAAGACAACGAGTGTCTGGGCGCAACCGCGACGATCGTAGGAAGTCTGCAGGTATGCGAGGGTGGTAGCCGAGGTCGCAAAAAAATGACGACATCCCCGTGTTTGGCGAAACGGCGTGGATGTACGTAATCTCCGCGTGGGCTAAGTGTAAGTCTCACAACTGGTCATCCTTAATAAACTTTCGGAGGATATTACCGAGAGTTTTATTAGTGACCTCAGTCGGACTATCCGTCTGAGAGTGGTAAGACAATGAGAAGCGGAGCTGGGATCCGTACACCTCGTGTAGGCGGTCGCCAGAATGTGCTGGTAAAGCGCGGGTCACGGTCGGAGATGATGCTCTAAGGCAAGCCGTGATCTCTTACGACTCGGTCGAAGACGATGTCGGTGACCTCATGAGCACTAATGCGATAGCGGCACAACGTGCACGCTTCATGAAGCGATCGGCGACGACCAAGATAGCATCATGACTGCGCTCGGTGGGTGGAAGAAGGGGACCAATGAAATCCATCGAGATGGACTGCCGACGACCCTCAGGTATGGGTAGGGGTTGAAGTAACCCATACAGAAGGTGGTTCGCAGTATTCACCTCCTGGCAGGTAGGACACTCCTGGATGTAGGCTTTTATGAAGTCCTTGGACTTCGGCCAGACGTATAGGCGGCAAACACGAGCCGACGTCTTGTGGAAGTCCATATGACCGACAACTGCCTGGTCATGGAACTTTGCTACAGCCTGGACGCGAAGCTGGCCGGTGAAGGGAACGTAGATATTTTGTTATAGCTGACCAAATCTGCCATTCGAGTGCACAAGACCGTTCTCCTCGGGGGAGTTCGAAGGAACGGTTTTACCACTCCGCAGTATCGCGTGGATGACACGATA